CCCCAAAACCCCAAAACCCCAAAACCCCAAAACCCCAGGGAGATAGTGTGGTGTTGGAATTTAGGAACCTAGGGGGTATGATTTTATTTTGGAGAGATTGTTTGGATCTGTGGGAGGGTAGTTAGAGAGGTGTACCTGAAGCGAATTGGCAGTTTTTAGCTTGATACAGTTGTCAGATCTTGGTAACTTCTCGTCTCTGGAGTATTCTTTGTCCTTAACTTGAGTATAATGCAAGAAAATCACAAAATGTCCTACAAGAACTACCTTCTGATCCCTAAAAAATAAACCACTCTCTCACTCGGCAACCTCATTGTCATCAATATACTTCTTCACCACCTTCTTCATCTCCATTACTCTATCTCTCATCCCCCATCTCGCCTCCAACACATTCGGGTGCACCTCCTTCCCCATCTCACACAACACCTCCAAAATACCCCTAAAAAATCTCTAAAAAATCCCTATTAATCCAAAACCCCTACATTTCTCCTATCCCTTCCTGCTCCCCTTCTTCTTGATCCTGATCCTTCTCAAGTACTTGTTTCAGCTAAAATTCAGAAGTTATGCTGCTCTAGTCGTGCATGCTTCTTCGTTCATTTCGAACCTTAAGTCAGTAAGGGAAAAGAGACTGGCTTTGGTGAGTGGGGATGCGAGTAAAGTCAGGGGCTAGGAAGAGAGAGATTTGGGGGCTAAAGGGGATTTTAGGTGAAGAAGGGATGAGAGAGGCGGGTGGTGGGGTTTTATAGGGGGGTTTGGCCGGGTTGGTAGGAAGAAGGGGTGGTGTTGAAGTTCTAATTGGTAGATATGGAGAAAATATTGTGTTGTTTAGTACAAATATGCTTAAAGGATATGATATTACTTAAATAGTCATCTAGGAACCAGTGCTCTCTACTTTTTCTCAGGTCGATCAGAGAAGCGTCTATAGGGGTAAAGACTAAGGGCAACAAAGTTAAAGACAGATGCAATGGAGGGTTTGAGAGGGGACTCAGTTCAACTATGTGTAACTGAGGAATCAGCTCTCTAAAGGTAAACCAATCAGTACTTGAATTCTTCGATGACTTCGTCGATATTTGAAGGAATGTCAGAGATTATGTTCAAAGATTCACGCAGTTGAGGGAGTAAGATGAATTCGATTGAGGCGAAGTTAGGGTGATCTTTGTACACATAGTATGCTGTCATCAAAGCTCTCCGCAAAGGTGACACAAAGATTGTATGAATAGGTAATTCGTTAGCAATCTTTTGGGATTCAAGACACTGTCCAATGCCTAGTTGATCAATTTCTGTAAAGTAAACAAATTAAGAATACTAGCATCTCTGTTTGAAGGATTGAAATCACTATAAAGATGCATTAAAAATGTTTGTATCTTACATGTTGAAAAGTTCTTCTTTTTGGATACTATTGAAGTCTCCTTGCTCAGTCCTATTACATTCTCAACTAAAAAATACTCTAATACATTAAATGCAGCATTTGCAGTAGATTGGGCATGTCTATGGAGGATCAGTTGAGGTCTTATATTTACATTAATAATCTTATCCTTCTATTAAATCTTTTATCTCCTTTTGAACAAGAGTAGAATCTGAATCCATTTACAAGTAGTTTATGCTAATTATTTATTTTTCCCTACTTATTTTTTATATTTGGAGTACCATCAGTTCTCAGCTCAAACCTAAATTCATTGGATTCAATTGGCAAAATCTTATAAGGGGTTTTGGGGTTTTGGGGTTTTGGGGG